TTTAAAAAAAAAATGAAAACTAACATTTATATCTAATTTATTGATTACTAATATTCGTTTCACGTTTAAATAATAACATATTGTCAAATGTATATTTCACTACAGTACAATTGGCTTATAATAGAATTTTTATAACATATTGTTAAGAATGATAACTATTCTCCAGCGGCGGCTCGTGGCCTAAAAGATGAGGAAGGATAAAAAATGTCTATATAATAGACTAAATTTCAAAATATTGTCGCTGCGAATACTAAATAGGTACCCATGCAACTAGTGGCCAGTGGGTGAAGACGGATAATATATTTTTTAACGGAGCTGCACTAGCTATTTTTCTCAACTATCACTAGCGACAGGCTGACGTCACGTTGCCATGCAACCGTGAACGCTTATGCAGATGGATTTCGCATTGCAAAAATGATATTCACCTATTCCTGAATCATACACAGCAAGTGATACAGGTCAGGACTTGACCGTCAAGTACCTACCGCACTACTAATAAAGCTAGCTGTCTTTTTTTAATTTTTAGATTAATTAAAAGAGAATAAATAATTGATTTCAGAATTTAGATATAATACTGTTGCTTTTATTTTTTATTTATTTGTCTCAATTTAATTATATTTTTTTTTTGGTGATCCCCACCCTCACCTACTTCACCTGGCCGGCCGCCGCTGCTATTCTCAATAATTATAAAACACAAGAATAAATCCTAAGGTCGTTAATTGTCCAACTCAATTAATTTAGTTTTCTGAAGATTTTTCAAATTTGTCGTTCTTCCACGTAAGCGTTTATACACGGCCTAAGTAGGTACTTTTTGTGTATCCTATATCTATGTTCTATTGAAAAGACCTTTGCTTATAAGAAAGCCTATTATCGGGTTGGGATATGTATCTGTTAATTGATCAGATTCTAAAAAATCTGTTCCAGTTATTTACGACATTCGCGAACAATTGTCCTGCAGTTTCAGGTAATATATTCGGTCTCTTCCCCTGCAATTTCGCAGAATCTGCATGCTCCCGTTTCTGTCATATTAGTATCTTATATTATTGATGATATCTGAATGATCAGTATAAAATGGGAACTCATAATGTGATTCTTCTGTTCTGTTTCGATTATCTAAAATTCCAAGAGAATTTTTCGTAGTGAGCAGAAGCTTCTAATAATCTTTTTTTGTTTGCATTATGTGGCCAAAATATTTAGGGTTACCCGTTATCGGTAGATCCTGCAATCCGTCTAGGAGAGGGAGAACCTCCAGGTTGGGGGTTAAGGCATTGGGCCAACTCCCCAGTACTTGTAAAAAACATAAAAATATTAAAAAAACCAATCACACGCCTCGGAATAAGACGATACAACAAAGAAACTAAAAGTCTTACTGAATTAACAGAACTAAAAATAGACATAGCAGTCATTACGAACAAAAAGAAGGACGGCTTTGAAATCTAGAAATATGACCATGTCTATATGGTCCAAAAGTGAGCTCAACAGGAATTTCTTTATTGATTCACAGAAGACTAAGAAAGTTCATAACAACCTGGGAAGCCATAAGTGAAAGATTAATTAACGTAAAGATGTGTCTTCACGGATATAAACTAACAATTATGGGCGTATACGCAATAAATAACGACGCACTAGCCAATGTAAAAGAAGCATTTTATGAACAGCTTCACGAAAAAATATCGAAAATAATCGCGGGAAATGATATTAATGGGGGATATTAACAGTAGAGTAGGAAGAAAAGATGCAAATGAAATAGTAGGAAAATACAGAGAAGACACCACGAACAACAATGGTGAAAGATTCATAGATTTATGCAACCAGAATCAACTCAGGATCTTAAATGTATACTTTCCACTTAAACTGATACACAGCTATACATGGATTCCGAAAACACGAAACATAAAATTAATAATCGATTATATTGTAACAAAACAAAAAACCCGACTGAAGTGTACAAGATATAAGAGTTCAGAGAAGCCCAACGTGCGATAGCGATCACTATTTATTACGTTTAAAAACACACTTCCCAATTCGAAGACAACAGAGAGAAACACATATAGACATAAACATGACAGGAAAGATACAGGAACGAAGATACAACATCAGAAGTCTAGATGAAGAAAGCACCCAAGTCTTATTCAAAAATTCAAATTCAAAAATAGATTGGATGAGAAGCTCTCCGCCCCTAAGAATATCGACCAGTTATATGAACATATAAAAAAACTATTTACGCGAAGCAGCATTTGAAGCAATGGGATGCTACATAAAACCCAAGGTAAATAAATAATACTGGTGCGATAACGAAATAGAGCAAGAAATAAAATGTAAATACCAACAATATTTAAGCTCCAAATCATTACAAGACAAAATAAAATATAAAGAAAAACAAGCAGAAACACGAAGGAAAACCTCTAAGAAGAAGAACAAGGAAAGAAACTTCCAACGAATAAATACTTATGTAGGAGGAACCAGAAGCACAGAAAGCTGGAAACTGATAAAAAATTGAGAAAAGGAAAGAATAAAGAAGGGCTTACAGAGCATAAAACCTGAAGACTGGGAAGAGTATTTCAAAGAACTTTTGGTAGAGAATAGAGTCGAATTTCAAGAATATAGAAATCAAAACTTTTGTTCTTCTCTTGTTCTTATGCGATTTTCTTGGTATTTCTTTAAATCTTCCTTTATCTGTTTTCTTATAGTTTTGTTCAGTTTGGTAAACCCCACTGTATTTCTTTTGTTATCATTCAGGAGTTGTCGTCGTTTTTTTAGCATATCTTGTGATTTAGCGCTAATTTTTTGTTGTTTTCGATTTTGTTTATTAGCAATCTTCAGGCCTGCTTCTAGTAGTTACTGTTGTTATTTTATCGTTTAATTCGTCAAGTTGCAAACCCTTTAGCTGTGATATGTCACTTCTTTTTAGCTGTTTTATTTATTGCTCTTTGCGTTCTTGAAGAAGTTCTGTATCTATCTCTTTTTTAGATCGTTTAAATTTTTGTCTGTCTGTTGTGGCGTTAATTTTCATTTTGGCTCTAACAATTCTGTGATCACTTCCTACGGAAATCATCTTTATGGCAGTAACGTCTTGTACTATGTTCTTTTCTTTGGATAGGATGTAATCAATCTCATTTGTTGTTGAACCATTGGGTGCGATCCACGTCCATTTGTCTCTGTGGTTTTTTATTGAAAAAGGTATTCATCGCATATAGACCGTTCGTTTTCATATAGTTTATCAATGTTTCTCCTCTTTCGTTTCGTGTTCCATATCCAAAGTTGCCGATTTTATTTTTTGATTCTTCTAGTTTTCTCCCTAATCTGGCATTGAAGTCGCCTATAATGATTGTGTAGGTGCTTTTGTATTTGTTCACTGTTTGTGTCAATGATTCATAGAATATCTCCACTTCTTCATCCGTATGTGATGATGTATGGGCGTAAATTTGTATGATCTTTAAACTTATATTTTTATTTACGTCCATTATTAGAGCCGTGATCCTTTCTGAAATTCCAATATATTGTCTAATCTTATGAACATGCTGATTAGAAATAAGAAAACCGACACCAGCTAATGATTCTTCTTCAGTTCCTTTTATAGTATAGTATGCTTCTCGGATTCCAACTTTATACAGGCTTCATCTTTTGCTTTTTATCTCACTTAATCCTAGTATATCCCATTTCATCTTTTTTACTTCTTCTTCCAGTTCGGCTAGCTTCTCGTCTCTCATCAGTGATCTGACATTATAAGTTGCAATATGGGGTCTAGAAGTAAATAAACAGAAAACCGAATACCTGTGCATTTTAGTAGAATAAAAAGATCTCATATTAGACGATAACACCACGATAAAGCACTGCCGTGACTACAAATATTTAGGTATCACTATTTGACAAGAGGGAACATTGGACAAAGCCACAAGAGAGAGAAATACGTCAGGGAGAAAAGCCGTCACGATGTTAAACAACATTTTATGGGACCAATCCGTCAGCAAAGAAAATAAAAGGAGGATATATTGAGATACTATAGTAAACAATTGTATTACTTTATACAGTTGTGAGGTATGGCTACTGAAAGAAAGAACACTGGCAACGCTGAAAGCGACGGAAATGGATTTTTGTAGAAGAGCTGCAGGAAGATCTAGAAGAGAAAGGATTACCAATGAATGCATAGGATAATGGGAATCAAACGAACAATCACAGATGACCTAACAACGAAACAACTTATCTGGTTCGGACACATACAAAGAATGGATGAACAACGAATACCAAAAAAAAAAAATTAAAATGGCAACCAGAAGGAAAGGAGAAAACGAGGTAGATCGGAAAAAAGTTGGAGCGAAGGAATAAATAAATAACTAAGAGATATTGCCATAGAAGAAAACCTATGGAACAACCGGACTAAGTGGCGATTGGAAGTCGGAAAACGGCTGAGAACGTTATAAACTGACAAGTAGTAGCAGTAGTAGCCCAAAACATTTTGTCACTAGACTACACAAAGTTCCTTTTTCTATTTTCAGACATCTTCCACATTGCGGCTTTTTGGTGTACCGTAGAATGATCCTGGTACAATAAAAGAAGTACTAGATTTTTGGTTATAGATAGATAAAGTTAATTAATTATATTCTATTCTTGATATATTTTAATCTACGAAAAATAATTAAGAATACGATAAGAAATAGAAATACGAATTTAGTATTGTTAAATTAGATTTTATATCTTGTACAAAGATTCTGTTTCCGAAAGATCGCGTAAATCTTTAATGTACTTGACATGTTCTGAGATCTGGCTATACTGTATTTAATTCAACAGACGTGTCGATAGCAGCCGATCCTCTCCGAAGTTTGCATACCCAACGACAACAAACAGCGTGCGTGCTTCAGTGGTGCATCGTGATTGTCGGGGAGGGTTTCGTTAGACAGATTTTCGGTTTGTTTATGTTTGTCGCGGAAACAATTTAGTGAAGGAATATGAGTGTTTTTGGTTATTCTAGAGATTGATCGTTAATAAAAAGTGCCGGCAATATGTTGCGTTTATTTTTAGTGTTACTTTTGATTTATAATTCTCATTGTTTTCAACATGAAATTGTAGAATCAGAAGACGAAATTCCTCCTCATGGTAAATGCCAGCCGATAACCGTACCTGCTTGTACCGGAATAGCTTATAATGAAACGATTTTACCTAATATCTTGGGCCATCAGACTCAAGATGAAGCCGGCATGGAGGTTCACCAATATTTTCCTCTAGTTAAAATTAATTGTAGTCCTGACTTGCAGTTTTTTATGTGCTCTGTTTATGTGCCAGTGTGTACGATCTTGGACCATGCTTTACCGCCTTGCAGATCATTGTGTATTTCTGCAAGAAACGGCTGCGAACACGTTATGCTAAATTTTGGTTTTCATTGGCCAGACTACCTAAACTGTGATAACTTCCCGGAACCAGATCAGCTGTGTGTTGGCCAGAATAAACTGACAGTGACACCTAATCCCAATAGTGACGATTCATCCAATCATCCTGTGACGAAAAAGTGGTCTCCCTACCACGGCAAAAACTATGGTTTTGTGTGTCCTGAACAATTTAAGGTGCCTGAAGTATTGGAGTATTCCCTAAAGGTTGGAGATAAGACCGAAAAGAATTGTGGAGCACCATGCCATTTAATGTTTTTCAAGAGCAACAGGAATTTTTCTAAATTCTGGATAGGGACATGGGCTATTTTGTGCGCTACTAGTTGTCTCTTCACAGTATGTACATTTTTAATCGACACCGACAGATTTCGGTATCCAGAACGACCCATCATATTTCTTTCAGTGTGCTACCTAATGGTAGCAGTAGCATACGTCGTCGGATTTCTAGCAGGAGATACAATAGCATGCCGGGAACCGTTTCCAAGTAAACACGGTATAATCACAGAGAGCACGATAACTCAAGGCACCAAGTACGAAATATGTACTATACTTTTCATGGTTCTTTATTTCTTCAGTATGGCTTCTAGTATCTGGTGGGTTGTGTTAACTTTGACGTGGTTTTTGGCGGCAGGATTAAAGTGGGGCCACGAAGCTATTGAGGCAAATTCCCAGTATTTTCATCTAGCAGCATGGGCCATACCTGCAATCAAGACGATCAGTATTTTGGCTACTGGAAAAGTTGACGGTAAGTTTTTCATATAACTTTAGTTTAATTATATATTTTAGTTTTAGTGAAAAATATATTCTCTTTGTTGGTATATAAATTATATAAATATATGTTCAAATTTATAACGTATAGATTCTCTAAATTCACTCCACTGATATCAGTTATTATCTTCTGGGTCTTCCTCTTCACCCCGGTCTCGTCATTCCTAATAAGTAATGCGAAATTCGACACCTCCGTTTGGTGCACTCTACATGGCCCAAGCTCGACACTTTCGTTTGATGTATTTTCCATATCGGCCATTTACCTGATTCTTTAGAACTTAATTTGAGCGGTTATCGAAGAACCATTTATTTAATTATTTGTTCTTCGTCACCTTCCACCGTCCTTATCCCTCGTATTTGTTTATTGATTTCTCTCGATTCATTGTATATATTATGGATGTCATTTAGAATCTTTAACTCCTGAAATTGAAATCTTTGTATTAATGTTTACCTCAGATAAATGAAATTTTCTGTAAACTTAAATTTATATTTTTTTCCGTTGGAGCAGTAAGTAACTTACTATTCAATTTTTATTCATATTGAACTGACCTGTACCTAATAATTGCCTAATTGTGAACATCGGATCTGTAGTAGATCGGTCTATTCTGAAGCCTGCCTGATACTCTCTAACATATTTGCTAATCCTGCCTAATAAGATTGTCCTTCTTCTTCTTCATGTGCCTTGTCCGTTCCGAACGTTGGCAATCAACATGGCTATTCTGACTTTGTTTACGGCAGATCTGAATAGTTCAGTAGATGACAATCCGAACCATTGCCGCAAGTTTTGGAGCCACGAGTGTCTTCTCCTCCCTGGACCCCTTCTGCTGTCTTATTTTCCCTTGAGCGATCAGCTGTAGTACTCTATATTTATTATGTCTCATAACGCGACCCAAGTATTCCAACTTTCTTTTCTTTATACTTATTCCTACCTCTTTCTCTTTACCTATTCGGCGTAGTACCTCTTCGTTGGTCACGTGCTCAGTCCAGGATTATACGTAATATACGTCGGTAAGCCCACATTTCGAAGGCCTCTACTTTTTCATCAATGTTGCGGTCATTGTCCACGCCTCCATTCCATATAACAAAACCGGGAATACATAACATTTCAGAAGTTCGAATTTTGAGAGGTAGGGTGAGGCTTTAGAGGTGAAAATTTGCTTCATGCTAGTGAACGATGCTCTTGCCTTTTCTACTCTTATACGTATTTCCTTCGCTTGATCCCAATTTGAGTTAACTGTTGTTCCCAAGTAGATGTACGAATCACGTGTTCAATTCTTTCATTGTCTAATATCAGTTGCTGTGGTGGTTGTTGGGTTTTGCTTACTAACATCCATTTGGTTTTTGTGATATTTAGTCTGAGTCCGTATTTGTGCACTTGTTTTTTGTATCTTATTCATTAGGCAACTCAGTTCCTCCATGCTACTTGCTAGAATCACAGTGTCATCAGCATACATAAGATTGCCCAGTATCTTATATCCTACATCTAACAGTGTAATAATAATTGCTCTGTAGTTATGAGGAAAATGGCCAGTCATTCCCACTATAAAAATTGTAAAGCTAAAAACCATATAAAGACAAAATACCAATTATTGCCACCCAGTCATTGTCATATATAAATAACATTTTACTGAAAAATCTTGTTTATTTATAAAAATCTAAACCAAAATAATTAATAAAATAATGAAGCCTTTCCATGTAAAATACATATTGATATAAAAAATAAATTGTTTATATATCTAGTGTTTTTCACAGGTTTTAGGCCTCAAATACATCCACTGGCAAAATAAATTCATAACGGATCCGCTCACCAGTGGATAAAATAGTAGGTGTTGGCAGTATGCCTAAAAAATACGATTTTCATTAACAAAGGAGATGTCTTTTTCATAGGCCGATAGATAGATTTTCTTTTACCGCCTAGGAATTTCACAAGTACATAGTTTCCCACACTAAGTTCTCCGTGAGTTATTGGGCACAATTCTTTTTAGGGTCTTCATAAAAGTCTTATGTCATCACAGCTGCTACGGCTCTCGACCCATCTTCATCCTCTCCATCATCGTCAGAAATATCCCGTTTTGGCTTCTCTTTCTGTCTTTTGAATTTTTCTTTGGTTTTTTTCTTCTTCTTTCCTTTTTTTTTTCTCTTAAGTGATATTCACGCTAAGCTTCCGATGTTACCACTGATGGAATCTTTTTCTTTAGTCTTCTCTTCTTTGTCTGAGGTCTTGGGTCTGACCAAATCAGTGTATAGACTCAACAGTGTATGCATAGGAAACTTTGCATGGACTCTCCAAGTTGTACATGTGATGTACTTGGTTCAGGCGTATTAATATATCTCTTCTCAGTACCAGACTATATATCTGAGCTATGAGTACCAGAGATGTTTGGTTGGAAATTTTTTACTGGTGTGCAGTGAGTTGAAAATATAGAAATATTGTTTTGAATAGTATTGCATTTAATTTGGCATTGGTAGGGTTTCCATTGTCCATTATTTCCATATGTTAAAAAGGGATTTATCCTCAATAAAACTATTTCAACTCCTGATATTGTTTAAAGTTACCTTGAATCTATTTACAGTTTCTTCACCCAACTTTCCTTCAAAATACTTAAGTGCTTGTAGATATTGTTTACATGTACTATTAACAGACTCAGATGTGTCAGAAATTGTGGAACTGGCCCTAACGTTTTTACACTCATTTTTTCAAAATAAACATTTTCAACATTCCTCTTCTTGTAGTGCTTATCCGTTTCGGTTGTTGGCGACCATCATGGCAATCTGTATTTTGCAAACTGCTGCTCTTAAAAGATTTGTGGTTGTTGTGTTGAACCACGTTCGTAGATTTTTCAGCCAGGAAATCCTTTGCCTTTCCTGGTCTTCGTTTTCGTGTTTCAACATGCAACTGAGCACATAATCCTGAAGATTTAAATTCGTTCTGAATAATTTTCTCATTTATATGATTTAGTGCCTTTATAAAAAACTACTGCCAAAATGATATTTCTGAAGTTTATTGCCATCGTTGTTCATTTTCCACTTTTTCTTTTCACTTCATTTTTATATGTTAATTTTAAGGGCCTAAACACTGATATATCCATAGGTGTAGCAGATAGGTTGAGTTGATAAACAAAGCTACCAGTTCTATTCTATTTTCTTTACAAAAGTTGGACAAATCCAACGTTAGATGAGAAACATGCCTATCAATAAAAAATATAATAGGTTTTTTAATATTATCTCTAATGAACCCGTATTAAATTTATTGGTGATGTATTTATAAAATATGTACTAGAACACGTCCATCCATTATCTGAAGTTCCCAGAGCCCATTCTTTTGGAATACTTTATGATACAGCTGGTCGAATTCTTTCATATGCCAAAACAATCATTGGATGGGCGATTTTTCCAGCAGCCTTAGCTGTTACCAATAATTTTATATTTTCCTTGTCATCTTCAGCAGAGCGATAAATATTTTTATCACCTTTCTTATCCAAAATCTTTTCCTCTTTAGGTGATAAATAAAATGCACTCTCATCGACATTGAAAACACGATTGGGTTCTTTTGTTATATCAAACAAATCTGTTGACTTTAAATATTCCTCAACTTGACTGAACCATTGTCTCAAATTGTATTCACTTATATTTTCCCGACTGGGAAAGATGTTTCAAAAGCTCTCTTTAAATCAAGAAATACACCGACTACGTACTTATTTTTATCTAAACTACTCTTTATGTGACATAATATAACTTGTAACGCTGATTCACAAGAGAATTGTTTTCGAAAACCTGATTGATTATTAATTAAAATTTTATTTTTAGTTACATGTTCTGATAATTGTTCATAAACAGCCATTTCTAATATTTTCTCTATAGGAGGTAAAGTATTAGATTGGTCGGAATTCTTCGGCTTTGATAGTGTTGGGTATTTTTTGAATAGGGGTGATAGTACTTATTTTTAATACATCAGGAATTCTACAATTATAACTATAATTATAATTATAATTACAATGTCTGCAATTATATACTGTGTCATCGCATTCCTAAATTATTTTTATTATTATTTTGCGCCTTTAAGTGTATTCTGGAATACGATGTTAACATACATGTTGAAAAGTATAGGGATCAGTATACAACCTTGTCTGACTCCATGTTTAATTTGTTTAATTGATACAGTTTTTATTTGGCTATTTTCAAAATGTTCAGGCGTTAGTTGATCTCCGTAGAGGTGTTAAATATTTTTTAGACTTTGAAGTCCAAACCTTTTCGTTTCAGAATATTCACAAGGTATTATGTTTGAAACAGTCTGTGAAACATGTATGTATAGCGTTAACAGGCCTTTTAGGCCCATTGCTGGATGGGATAATTTCCGTCGTTTTCTGTTCCTCCCTTTTTTTGCCCTCAGCTAACCTTGCAGTATTTCTAGATGTCCCAGCCATTCTAGTCTACGTTTTTTCACCACTATTGTTATTGTAGAGTTAGCATATAATTAATCACTTTTACATTAGTTCGTTTTCTCCATTCTCTCTCTAATACATGTCCGCCAAACATTCTGCGAAGTATTTTTCTTTCTCATGCTTCCAATCTGTTGTGTATGGTTTTTTCATAGTCCATGTCTGGCAGCGTATAGCATTGTGGGTCTAATTATAGTTTTGTTTACTCTTATTTTTGTATTATTAAATATATCTTTGCCTTAAGTATTTTGCTCATGGCTCCGGCACATCTGTTACTCTTGGTCAGTCTCAGGTTGATTTCAGTTTCTTCCTTACATGTTTGATCATTAAAAATTCCTAAGTACATATATTCATCCACCTACTTGAATTCTACAACTGATCCATCCTCCACCTCGAATTTAAATGAGCCCCTGGTGTTTATGTTTTTTTTTTGCTCGAGATTTCCATGTACTTGGTATTAACTTTCAGTCCCATTTTAGAGCTTTCCCGAATCAGTCTTTTGCTATACTTGCCAGTTCTTTTCCATTTCTTGCAATGAAAATCACATCAATAGCG